ACACTTTAATATTAAATATGATAGTGCTGTATTGTAATTATCTTATTGCTACTCTTCTCTGATATTAAATATGATAGTGCTGTATTGTAATTATCTTATTGCTACTCTTCTCTGATATTAAATATGATAGTGCTGTGTTGTAATTATCTTGTTGCTACTCTTCTCTAATATTAAATATGATAGTGCTGTGTTGTAATTACCTTCTTGCTACACTTCTCTAATATTACATATGACAGACAGTTCAGTATTGTAATTATCCTTGTTGCTACACTTCTCTAATATTACATATGACAGACAGTTCAGTATTGTAATTATCTTGTTGCTACACTTCTCTAATATTACATATGACAGACAGTTCAGTATTGTAATTATCTTGTTGCTACACTTCTCTAATATTACATATGACAGACAGTTCAGTATTGTAATTACCTTGTTGCTACACTTCTCTAATATTACATATGACAGACAGTTCAGTATTGTTATTATCCTGTTGTTACACTTCTCTAATATTACATATGACAGACAGTTCAGTATTGTAATTACCTTGTTGCTACACTTCTCTAATATTACATATGACAGACAGTTCAGTATTGTAATTATCCTATTGTTACACTTCTCTAATATTACATATGACAGACAGTTTAGTATTGTAATTATCTTGTTGCTACACTTCTCTAATATGACAAAGGATTGTGTGTTTGTTATCACATCCAACTTTTACCACACTTATCACAATGTATGATCAACTGTATCTTTATAAAATAACATTCACGTGGAGAAGTTAGACAAATTAATATAATAAACTTCATTTTCCATGTGATTACAACATAACTTTTTTAAGGTGTCATAACAAGTACTTGTAAGTTAATAATAGGAAACATCTATTGTTAAAGAGGAACTAACTGCTAAGTAAAGATTTTTCTTTAATAAACCAGCTTTTGGATGATGCCCTCTTTAGTGTTGAAGAAAATGGTGATGAGCAGTTATTCAAAAGGAATTTTACCAACTGAAATAGCTGATTCTATCGATTTTATGGTTGATAAGGTAAAACTAATATTTTATCTACATACATACTTGTGTATACAAGTCAAATTGTGAGACTTTCTTTGTATTTTGTAAAAGTACACGAAGTTAAAAGAATCCCTGATTTAAAAAAAATTTCTTAATGTAATTAAAAACATAGTTGATAATACTGTGGACACCAGTTTTCAAAGGAAAATTAACTGTACGTAGTTTATTGTTAATTTTTTTATAATTCCTGTTTACTACAGAAAAATAAAATCCATGTGATCTTTTTAAATTGATGCTTTCATATTCCATGGGCAAGACTAGTATGTAATGTCTGAAATATACTATTCATTTTGTAGATATGCTAATGTGAAAAGTTGAAGCCTAAAATGTATGGAGATTATAAATTGTAGTATGTTTAATTATATTTCTAATAATTCCTGAATATAAACTTTGAATTCTCCTACTTTTATTTATTTTTGTCAGACACTTGATATTTTGTTTATTCTTTAGTTGGACAGCTTAAGACAACCTGAATTAGCCTCTCGACTCACTCTTAATTGTGTAAGGTGCTATGTTGAGCCGCAGACGCTAAAAGACGTGCCTATGACAATTATCAGTGTATGTTTTTCTGTTTACATAATTTTACGTTGGTAGTCATGTGTTGGTATTAGTTCAAGATCATTAAACAGTGGTATGTAGAATTTTTTGATCAGATATACATATATCTGTATGACTAAGTTGATCATGAAGAAGTATTTTTTATTGATAATGTCTGTGTAGTTTGCTAAGATTTAAAATATCCGTAATATATTTTTCCAATGAACATTTTAAATACGCTAAATTTCCCTCTAAAACAAACTTTTATCACTTAGGTGTTTGATGAAAGTGGTCTAAGTCATGTGGTTCGAGAGGATCTCTTTAAACTATATCCATCTGCCAAGAAAGCACATTTGAAAACTGGAGGAAATTTCCCTTATTTAAGTCGTAGCGATGAAGTTAATCTATACATTCAGGTAAACTTTACGGCACAGAGATATTAACGTATTTTTCATTATATTTATTATAATCACTGTTTATTAAAATCGTTGAAATGTCCTTTCTTTAGGAGACACTTTATTTTATATTTCTCACCAAAACATGGATGTTAAGATGTTTGTTATTAACATTCTTATAAGCATGTGTTGTGCAAACTATGTGCAGATTTACAAATGAGACCTGCCTACCACTTTTTTTTCAGGTATCTTGTTCAATGACATAGCCAACAGGCAGGGGACAGAAAATTGAGTCATAACTTTGAACATGTGCAATGTTGTAACTTAGTTTTCTAACCTTTTGGCCTCGACATTTAATTATATGATCAAGAATTATTGTAAAGTCTCAGAATTTAAAAGTAAACTACTTAAAATGCAATGTTTTATAAAGTAATGAATGATACAATGTGAAATTTGGAGCTTCATTTACTTTGAAATGATCACATAATCTGTGGTCATAAATAGTTGAATGCTACATTTAGTCAAAACGGTGT